ACCAGAATTTGATCTGTTCCATCCTTGATGCATTTGACTTGGTTGTCATTCCCCATCTTCCTTGGTAGTCCCTTTCGCTTCCCTCATGTTTAAACTCTGAAAGAGGCCCGACCCATTGCTTCACTCGCAGCTCGCTTTGTGGTCTCTTTGTCACCTTGTACTTCTATATGTTGTCTGCACTCCTATCCAGGTGTAGGGGAACATTCTTTCTTCTCCTTAATAGCCTTCTGGCATCATTGTTCCACCACTTGGTAACCTTCGCTTCGCTTGTACTTGACCTCAAACTCCTCTTAAGCCACCTTTCGAACTCAAGTTGCCATCTTCATCCACCTATTGTTTGCATAACCTCCTTCCTCCCAAGAACCCTCCTTAATAACCCCCTCCTTGAAAGCCTGAGTTGCCTCCCCTTGAGCTTCCACCACTTCGTTCTAGCGACTTTGACGCACTTATTCCGCCAGACAGATATCTGAAAGTGGAAGTAAGCCAGCACCAAGCTTATGTCGTGGGACAACACTCTCTTTAGGTATCACCAATCTAGGCAAAAACCCGTCTGTCTTCTCTTCTCGAGAGAATGAAATCAATCTGGCTAGAGCGTTAACCACCACTACAAGTCACTAGATGGGATTCTCTCTTTCTAAAGAGGTTGCTAGCTATGATCATTTCGTAGGCTAAAGCGAAGCTTACATTTGGTTTCTTGGATGCATAGGATATCAGCACCTTCTCACCGTTGTATCACTAACTCCCGTAACTTACCCGCCAGGGACCCTACCTTCGAGCTACCTAAGCGGATCCTACTTGGCTTGGCTAGCTTCCTTACCCTTCATATTTGTCAAGTCAAATGCGAAGACCCTTGCTCATATTTCATTACACCTGGGCATCGATGTAGCGTGCCACTAAGGATGCGATGACCTTATCCTTGCCCACCTATCACCGTATCCATATCAACATACGACTCACCAAAGGGGTGAGGGCCTGACCCTTGCCCATTTAAACGCCACACCTGGGTTCAGATATGGCACGCCCCTAAGAGGGTTACGCCCCAACGGGCAGTCCAAACAAAAAATACCGTCCTACGGTCCTCCCCAAACCGGCCCCATTGTCCATACAGTTCGGACTGCCCTAAACCCAGCCCAAATGTTGGTCAGATATGGGCTGTCTGGACATGTCCGCCATGTCAGACCGAACAAGCCGGCCCCACCCCAAACCAACCAAATCGATATCTTTAGATTTGAACTATGTACTCCGGATAATATTTATGTTTGAATTATGTATTTTTAAATTTGAGCTGTTTATTCTATGTTCAATCTAAACCTTTCTAGTATTCAACAAGTTTGTTTGAAAAAAAATGAGAAGGGCAAAAAATGGGGCCAACAAATGGGGAGGGGTGAAATGGACCCCGCTGTTGTAGGGGCGGAAAATGGAGGAGCCGGATCCCTGCTGTCCGTGGACATATATGGGGCTAAAATTTGCTACTTGCCCTTGGAGATGCTCAGCCGGATATTATCTGAAGCATTGGTATTCCACTGGAGTCAATGCTATGTGTAGCCCTACCAATCGAGGCATCTAGCAAATATATTTTAACAAAATTGTTATTGTTATTACGTGATTGCAGCCATTCTGACACTTCAATTTTCGCAGAGTGGGTATCTGGAAATGCCCAAGGCTTGGATTTACTGAATTGAGGAACTGCGGTGCTGCCAGTGCTTGCTGTGTTATTCTCAAGTTGACCGGCTTTATGATTCTAGGAATGCTAACGATTCATTCTCACATTGTTTTAGATGGAATGCCAGTGTAGTGTATAGATACTCAGAAGTAGGTTGGGCAATCCAACATGCATGATTGCCAACCATAACTGAAATTGATGATCATGTAGGGCATCAAAAATATTCAGAGTTTACATGTAATTCGGCCATTCACTGTTTCCAGTGTGCCCTGCCATAGGCACAGCCCATTTGATGTTTAAGAAGTCATGATGTTAAGTGGTGACTGAAAGACTTGCTAATGCTAATTGTTATCAGTTGTAAACCATGTGCCTGTCATCGTGTTTATTTTCTTTTCCTGTCGTAATGAACATGCTGTTACTGATTTATTGGCTGCTGCTTGGTTTCGGTGTTTGAACTCGCTATTCAAGGTCTTGTGTAACGTTTGCCTAAAAAAGCACACCCCTAGGTGGCGGTAACACCAAATGATGGGTTGATGGCACATACATCATGATTTTACACAAATCAACGATGGTAACATGCATCATGACTAGCACACATGAGACTACCTATAGTGGGAGTAACATAGACTAGAATACATGAGACTACCTATAGTGGGAGTAACATACTCCCTCTGGTCCTTTTTAGTTCGCATATAAGATTTGATTAAAGTCAAGCCTCGTAAAGTTTGACCAACTTTATAGAAAAAAGTATCAACATTCACAATCTGAAATCAATACCAATAGATGTGTCATGACTTAAAGTTTCATATTGTATAACTTTAGCATGGCAGATGTTGATATTTTTTCATATAAATACGGTCAAACTTTATGAAGTTTGACTTTAGATTCTAATATGCAGAGTAAAAAGGACCGGAGGGAGTACTTGTCTTTCTAGGCATTTCAACAAGTGACTACATACGGAGCAAAATAAGTGAATTTACACTCTAAAATATGTCTATATACATCGTATGTAGTAGTTATTTAAAATGTTTAGAAAAACAAATATTTAGAAACGGAGGGAGTAGATGAAACCTAAGCAAAAAAAATGATGTGCCAACTAATTAATGAGCGACAAATTGAGTAACATAGCTATTACTCATCATGAGTAACATTACATATACTAAGACAAAATGAGTCTATAATCTAATAAATGAAATGTTGCATGAGACCTCACACATACGTTGGTAGTATGAACTATGGAAAAAAGCATCATGGCAACAAAAGAGCATCAGCTTGCAGGTTCAGTTATGAAATTATCGTCCGAGTTATTTAGATGTATTCCCTCCATCCCAAAATACCAAAATATAAGACCATTTTTACAGTTTGAAACGGAGGGTGTAACCATTCAGAAAGGAAGAGGCGCCTCATTACTTCAACATTAAACACACTAGTTAATTGCTTGTGACTTGCATTGATGGTCGCATGTTCCTCGATTTAGGTACACTAGTTAATTGCTTGTGACTTGCATTGATGGTCGCATGTTCCTCGATTTAGGTTGGTTGTAATGGAAAGTATCATATACTAATATCATGCATATGATACTAGTGTATGATATTATCTTCATAATGCATAGTATCATAAGTTAATATCTTAAGTTGCCTTATTAATTGCCATGCATGACACAAAGTAGTACATCATTTAATATGCTACGGTATCATGATATGATGCCATATCCTCTTTTTTCTCGTTTAATTGTGTGTCACATCATTCAAAAATCTAGTTGACATGCATGATACCGCATATGATACTTCCATTACGACCAGCCTTATTTTAGCCTTTCGGCAATGTGCGTTCAATGGGATACGTTCCGTCGACTTCGAAGATATTTGTGGTAACTTCATCAATCTCAAAGATTATATGCCAGCTCAAGTCTCTCGGAGGTGCTCATAAGGGAGGGCATGCGTTCATAGGGATGAATATATATATTGGTAAGTTTTAATTAAGTTAATGCAGGACATGTATGTATAAGTGTTTCTGTCTACTGTGTTCAAAAAGTTATCTGTGCGTTGGAATGATGCATATATGTTTCAGTGTTAAACAACAATCGAGTCAAACATATGCCTTAAACCCATCATATTGGAGTATAGGTAGAAGAATGCAAGAAACATTTTAATTTAATTGAGGTTTTGGTAAAATTTGAGTTGATTTCAATGCAGAACATAATACTAGCAAGATTTGATTAAGTTTAATATAATATTGGTAAGCTTTAATTAAGTTAATGCAGGATATGTGGTTTCCAGTAGGATAAGAAAAGAAAAATATCGACTCGGTTTAGATTATTTCTAAGACAAGGGAGCATTATTTCTAAGACAAAGGTGCGTGGAGGAGAAAAAACCAAAGCAGAGGGATGCAGAGAGGAAACCCCGGTGGCAAGGAGAAAAGGAAAAGAAAAAGAAAAAATATAATACCCACACAAACCTCAGTGCAAGATCAAGGGCATAGGACTTAGATGTGCAATACTTATGGCACATCTAGATGTGCTTTAGCAAAACTGTATTAAGACTCTGAAATTCCTTCCAAAAATTCTTCAATCAGCGTTGGTGCCAAAAACTGGATTTTACAAGTCCTAGGATTGTAAGCACACATTGTTTCCACATTCCGCTGTGTTTACAGTTTCACTCTTGCAATCGTCTTCCCCGTTTCCGAACTCATGCAGCCAATATCTTTTGACATAACCCTGTGGAAGGATTGAACGGCGTATATAGTCGGGGCACACGATCTTAGGTGTAGAATTGCTTCCAGGGCAGTGGCTCCACCGTACTACGACATGGCAATGTACCTGCCATCTGCAGCCTACCTCCAATGGCAACTAGCTTCGTCTTGGCTGTGCCCTCCTATTCTTATTTGCTGGAACAGATAAGCTTGAGGGAGTCAACTTCCGAAGAGAAGCATGCAGCATCATGACTGCAAAACATAGCACAGCGAGTTACAAGAATAATCAGAAGACACGAAAAGGAAGGAGAGAGGTAAAAGGGTCATTCACCTGCATAACTCAACCCAATGGCATACACAAGAGCAAACTGCAGGTTGCATACATATAGTAGTATAGCAGTGGCTGTTCAGGAGCAAAACCGACGGATAGTTAGAGACAAGAGCATCAGACTACAGGTATACCATTCAAAATAAAAGAAAATTTAACAGGATAGCACCGAACCACAGGTGTGATATTCGAAATGAAAAGAAAGATGAACATGACCCATGTGTCTTAAGGTGATCATTTGGGCAGGTGGGATGAAGGTGTGAAAGAAAATTGGTAACTTGGCACTGTCCTAAGAATGTAGGCCTTGAGGTTTGTGTTTTACGCATCGAAAACCAGGTTGCTGCACTTGCGCCATTGCATCTGAGATTTCAAGTTACACAATGAGCAACAAGCAACTCCCATCAATGTATGCACTGGATACATGGATTAAACTTCTACAGTTTGTACAAATATTTTCCAATTGATTAAGAATGACTAATTGAGAAAACAAATGAGGAATTATTCTTAATGTGTACTGTGTGGCATCATGACCAAGTTCTCATGATATATATAGCGAATAAGAAAATATGTTGCATGGAATAATCAGTAAACTACATAAATAAATACTCCCTCCGTTCAAAAAAACTTATCCCAAGCTTGTCCCTCAAATGGATGTATCTACCACTAACTTGGTGCTAGATACATCCATTTGAGGGACAAACTTTTTCGGACGGAGGGAGTATACATTATGACCAAGTTGAACAACTTGAACAAGTTATGTGTTTTGTCATATTCAAGCATATGAATAATTTCTTGAAGAAAATAGAACTTTGTGGCATTTTTCTTGCTCGAAGCATTTACAAAGTTTGCTGAACAATTAACGAAGCAAACACGTCAGAATCATCATAAAGAAAGAAAAAAAAAGTCTTTCATTACCTGTACGTTGCTCTGTTCAAGATATCCTTTCTATCCCACAAGAATAGTAAGAAATGAATTCCCTATATATTCACTACCAATCTTATCTATTACTAGAAAACAAAGGACCCATGCCTATACACTGTCAGTAATGCTGCTGCAAATGAAATCCACCTAGCTGTTCGTTTCATCATTGCACTAGCAATGTTTGCGCAGAAACAGCATTCGAAACCCAACACTCACCAATCTGGGCACAGTGCAGAAGAGCCTGCCCAATTCCGGGCGCTCGTGTGGCGAGCTCCCACCGCTTCCGGCAGTACCGCACAGCCTCCCACACGGCGAGGCTGGCCAGCAACCCCAGCAGCGACATAGGCATCCGGTACCTGCACACATGCCGCCACAGACAGCAGCAGCAGCTGCTTTAGTACTCCATCCGCACGCACGGACATGCAAAGACAGGAAAGATAACGAAACGAAGGCAGGGATGAAGGAAAGAGGGCAGATGGCAGTGGCATACAGGCAGCAGGCGAAGACGAGGACGGATAGCGCGGCATAGTTGCGGGCGTAGCGGCGGACGTTCTCCTGGACGCGGAGTCGGGCCTGGGTGGGGGTCGGGGGCCAGGAGTAGGAGGCGACGCCGGGAGCGCCGATAAAGGCGAGGGACCAGGAGGGGGTGGGCGCGGCGAGGTCGGCGGCGGAGAGGCACGCAAAGGGGTTGAGCGCGAGAAGAGAGGCTAGGGTGCGCGCGAAGGCGAGGACGTCGGCGGCGGCGCCGGCCCCCGAGGAGGTGGATGCGGGGCTGGCGCGTGTGGGGGCGGCGGCGGCGGGTGCGGGGGCGGAGGAGTCGAGGAGGTCGAGGTAGCCGGAGTCGCGGAGCCAGCGGTCGAGAGCGGGGTCCGGGACGCTCAGCGAGAGGGGGTTGGGCTTGAACGACGACGACATGGCGCCGCTGAGCCGTACGATTAGGAGGACAGGGGTGGTGGCTGCTTTGCGTGTTTCTCTTCTCTTCAACTTAAAAAGATCAGGAGCGAGCGCGCGTGCGCCGTGGGATGGGGAACGGAAATATTTTTGGCACAATCTTAGAGCAACCCAGTTAGGTATATAGAAAAATAATGAGGCATTGGTTTGATTTTTTCTCACCGATACCCTAAATTGAGGCTATCATTACAATGGTCTCACCTGTGTCATATTTTTAGGTCCCCACCCGAACACCCAGCGTCATCTCTGGCCTCCTTTTCCCTCTTTCTCTTCTCCTTTTCTTCTACACACCACGGGGCTACTACTCGAGCTCCATTTGATATCCGAGCCACCTAGTTGGATAGTGGGGCAGTAGGTTTGGAGCATACCATTGGCAATGCCCTTATAGATGTTTTACACATATCTATCCCCTTCGTCCTAAAATGTAAGATTCTTGTTTTTTAAACAAAAAAAATGTAAGATTCTTGTTACATTACAATAGTGTCAAAAATGTCTTACATTTTAGGATATCATTTTCTTACATTTATGCTACTTCTTTATAATTAATTGTATATTTTTGATACTTTTCTTACGTTTATACTAATTGTATACCATTATTGCATATTTTTGACATAATTTTATATTAATTGTGTTGGACTAACCTATTAATCCAATGTTGATTGATGTTTTTTCTATGTTTTTGAACTTCTAGAAAAATATTGTGTTGAGGACAAAAAAAGCATATATAAGTATTTCTAAAAGTTTCTCATTTGGAAAGAGCCAGTGAACCAGAAGCCAACAGAGGGGGGCTCTATGGGCCCCACATGGCCCATGGTTAGACCGTAAGGTGAGGGCGTGTGGCCGAGCCGTCCACGACGCTGATCCTTAGTGTCGTAGTTCTTTCTCCGACCCGGATCCTTCCCCGCGCCCGAAGTGGCGCCGGCGCAGGAAACATATGATCAGATGTTAGTGACACCTTTCGAGCTGGCGCTGACACTTCAACGCCGAAGGATAAGAAGACATGGTTGAACCGGGCACTAACCTCAGCGTAGCGGGGCAGCATGAAGCTTGTGTGGGATCAGGCGGACGCCATAAACAAGGTCGTGAAGGGCATGATGGATGTCTTCGCGGCCGACATGTAGGTAAGTGTTCATTGTGCAATTTATTTTATGCATGATAGTATAGCCAGTAGCGCTCAAGATATGTACCGGCTCAAAATCCGGTATGGATCTAGAATCTAAAAAAACTTTGCCTAGCAATTTTTCATACCCTGCCCTTCACCAGGGTGCAACTCCGTAGGAAAGATGTCGGGCTGCAGATTGGTGAATCACCACATTTAGAAAAAAATACAGTGTGCAATAGCCCCTGAGACCAAGGTAGAGCGCAAGCAGCTGACCTGAGGATTGAACTCCTTCTCACTAGCAATTTGAAAAATTTAAGTAATAAACCGCTGAGCCAGTAACCCCCGAGACTTAGGTAAATTTGCCACAACCGGTCCGAGGATCAAATCCAGACTAGGGAACTAACTTAGAGGTAAACAAATATGCAGTAGCTCCGAGACTCAGGTGAGGATTGAATCTTCCTCAGAAACACTAGCATTAGTTATATTTTCTTTAAAACGCGGGCGCAATAGCCCCCGAGAGTGAGGCCTTCTCCAAGAGGTGGCCTTAGGATCGAATCATATCATGTTCTTTAACACTATTCATTTTATGTTTTGTCTTGTGCAAAAGGTTGCACTGGGAATCCAGCACCTCACCAAGGATCCAGTGACGATGAAGGAGCAACTCAGTCAGTCCAAGCTCAAGATTGTAACGCCTTGAGCAAAGCACCGAAACCGCCACTGGTATGACACCTCAGCTGTTATGCTTGTGTGCTCACATCCTTAATGGAATTTAGTAATGGCTTACATGTTTTGCCAGCATTTGTGAAGTGGTCGAGCGACGTGTTGCTGAGCTGGAGATCCAGCTCTGGATTGCCCAGCAGCAGGCGCAGTCAGAGGGGCAGGAAGCTCGACTCGCCTGAGAGACGGTCGAGAAGACCGCCACATTGCTCAAAGGAAGAGCAGGAGGCCAGCAAGGCTATCCGAGAAGCTTCCCTCCTTCTCCAACAAGATGTCGACAAGCACGTCGAGTGCTGCGGTCAGCTCAAGTCTAAGTGTTACACCTTGGTCGAGGACCCGCAAAAGCAGGCCCATGACTTGAATGAGGCCAAGATGCGCCGGGCTAGCGCCTAGAAGGAGTTGAACTAGGCGTCGGAGATCATGTCTAGTAAGCCATATCTTCTGTAGTGCATTTTCGAACGTCGTGCTTATGCCGAGCTGACACAAGCTTGGTGTCCTTTAATGAGCTTTGTCGATCTGCTGTAAAGTGTTGCTCGGTCCAATGACCACTACACCAACAACCATGATCACGATCACCGGCCACTACCATACAATAAAGTCCCAAGATTTACCTTTAGCATGTGGTAGTTTAAAAGTTTATGTGTGCCGTGCCGAAACAGATTGTTTGTTGTTACTAGAAAAATCATATCAATTCAACAGAAGGTGATAAACCATGAAATTTTAACACATTACACATTTATGAGTTCTCTTTAACTGCTTATGTTTGCAATTTTATTTTGCCGCATTGATGTGGGAGTGTTAGAGTTGTGTTAGCATACAGTAGGTAATGTTATATTATAATTGAACATTGATGCCACAACAAGACATGATGTGAAATGTTATTTGCACGAACCCATCTAATAAAAGTTCTGTGTGGATGAAGTTTTTAAGACCCAGGGAAGACAACATGATGCAAGAGCTCAAGCTTGGGGATGCTTGATGTCTACTATGCAACTTTATTCTTATAGACTCTGTTGGGCCCCCAAGCGTAGAGTTTCATAGGACAACAACAAATTTCCCTCAAATGGATGACCTAAGGTTTATCAATCCGTGGGAGGTGTAGGATGAAGATGGTCTCTCTCAAACATGTTGGAAATATGCCCTAGAGGCAATAATAAAGTTGTTATTACCATATTTCCTTGTTCTTGATAAATGTTTATTCTTCATGCTATAATTGTATTAACCAGAAACTCAAATACATGTGGGGATACATAAACAAACACCGTGTCCCTAGTGAGCCTCTACTACACTAGTTCGTTGATTAAATATGGTTAACGTTTCCTAACCATATACATGAGTTGTCATTTAATAACGAGATCACATCATTAGGAGAATAATGTGATGGACAAACCCAATCGTAAGTTAGCATCTGACTGTGTCACTAAGTTGAAATTGATGTTGCTTTCTTAATGTCAAGTATCTATTCCTTAGACCATGAGATCATGCCACTCCCTAATACCAGAAGAATGCTCTTTGGGTATCAATCGTCACTTTGTAACCGGGTGATCATAAATGTGCTCTTCAGGTATCTCGGAAGGTACTAGTTGGGTCGTATGGATAAAGACTGGGATGTGTCACTCCATGTGACGGAGAGATATCTCTGGTCCCTCTCGGTAATACAACATCCTAAGTAGCTTGCAAGCATGTGACTAATGTGTTTAGTCACGAGGATATTGTATTGCATAACGAGTAAAGAGTGTCAGGTAACGAGATTGAACTAGGTATGGTGATATCGATGATCGAATCTCGGGCAAGTAAAATATTGCGAGACAAAGGGAATGGAATACATGATTGTTCAATCCTCGACACTGTGGTTCAAACCGATAAAGATTTTCGTTGAATATGTGGGAGTCATTATGGGCATCTAGGTCCCGCTATTTATTATTGATCGGAGAAGTTGTCTCGATCATGTCCGCATGTTCTCGAACCTGTAGTGTCACACACTTAACCTTCGGTAACGCTAGGGTAGTAATGGGATATTCATAATGTTGAGACCAAAGATAGTTGGGAGCCTGGGATGGGATCCAGGATATCATGAGGAGCTTCAAAATGGTCAGGAGATAAAGTTTCATATAAGGAAAGTGGTTTTCAGGGTTCCGGAAAATGTTCGGGATTTTTGGTATTGTACTGGGAAGGTTCTAGAAGGTTTCAGAGTGGGCCCACATGCATGGAGGGACCCAAATGGACATGGGTAGTGGGGTAAGGCCCCACAACCATGGTCCAAGCGCACCAAGACCCCCCTAAAAGGAATAGGATCATATCCTGAAGGGATAAGATCAAGATCCCTAAAAAGAGGGATCGCATCAGTGGGGAAGGAAAAGGAGGGGATTTCCTGCCCCACCTTGGCCGTCGGCCCTTAGGGCTTGGAGGAGTGGCCAAGCCCTCTCCCCCATGCCTATATAAAGAGAGGAGGCGTAGGGGGCAGTAGCCCATCCAACCCTAGGCGCATCCCCTCCGTGTTACACCTCCCTCCTCCTTCATAGACACTTGGGAAAGCCTTGCCGGAGTTCCACCATAAACTCCATCACCACGCCGCCGTGCTGGCCTAGATCCTGTCTACCTCTCCCTCTTCCTTGCTGGATCAAGAAGGTGAGACGCCACCGAGCCATACGTGCGTACTCGGAGGTGCCGTTCGTGCGGTGCTGGATCAGATTGGATCTCAAAGAAAGTATGCTATGCCAACCCCTTTCATTAGGACGCTTCCGCTTTCGGTCAACAAGGGTATGTAGACACTTTCCCTCTCGTTGCTAGCATCTAGTAGATTGGATCTTGGGTGAATTCGTATGAACATTTTTGTTTCCATGCAATGATTCCCATCCAAAACAACCCTGCAATCAAATACAAAAAGTCTCTTGTGTCCCCAACACACCCAATACAATTGTTAGTTGTATAGGTGCACTAGTTCGGCTAAGAGGTGATGATAGATGTGTAATATGGATGATAGAAATAACTTTTTATAATCTAAACAATTGAAAATAGCAAGGTAGAAAAGCGAGCAAAACGACATTTCAATGCTTAGAAACAAGGCCAAGGGTTCATACTTTCACTAGTGCAATCTCTCAACATCATTAACATAATTGAATCACATGAAAATCCCTCAAAGTGC